CAATCCACAAAAATGTTGGAGACTTAAACAATATGTTAACACTTCTGGTAGTGACATAAAACAAAAAAAACAAGTAAATTCCCAAACACCTAAGGGTCAAACACACACAGAATGACATCTACACTTCATAACCGATTCCATATAAATCAACTGTAGACCAATTAGTAAGAAGGAGATTCACTCCAAATTAACTCTCATAACTGTTGGGAGCTCCTGGGACCAATTACAAGTATCTATCCCTTCACAGAAACATCACTGGAACATTATCTTTTACATAATTACACTGCTGCATTGTTTCCCCGAAGCATTGCTCCACAAACAATGTTTTACTTTACTTGCTTTTTTTCTTTTACCGAAAAATCATCATGCTTGCTTCTAATGATCGATATTGTGGTTGTTTCTTAACCTCCCCTGTTTAATTGATTTTAAAACAAGGCATTAAAATGCAAAATGTAACAACATGCCATTTGTTACAGATACCAAACACCAACCGCAGGATGATAAATACCAACTGCCAAAGCTGTCCAAGAAAAGTTGGAGACTATAACAATATGTCACCACTTCTGGAGGCATTATGCCAACAGATCGTTTGTGAAGCTTCTGATTGTTTTAGATTTCGAAGGTATGAACCTTGAAAATCAAACTGGTTAAACTAGTGAGTCCAGCTTCTAATATGAACTTTGAAAATCAAACTGGTTAAACTAGTGAGTCCAGCTTCTAATATGAACTTTGAAAATCAAACTGGTTAAACTAGTGAGTCCAGCTTCTAATATGAACTTTGAAAATCAAACTGGTTAAACTAGTGAGTCCAGCTTCTAATATGAACCTTGAAAATCAAACTGGTTAAACTAGTGAGTCTATCTTCTAATATGAACCTTGAAAATCAAACTGGTTAAACTAGTGAGTCTAGCTTCTAACATGAACCTTGAAAATCAATCTGGTTAAACTAGTGAGTCCAGCTTCTAATATGAACTTTGAAAATCAAACTGGTTAAACTAGTGAGTCCAGCTTCTAATATGAACTTTGAAAATCAAACTGGTTAAACTAGTGAGTCTAGCTTCTAACATGAACCTTAAAAATCAAATGGGTTAAACTAGTGAGTCGAGCTTCTAATATGAACTTTGAAAATCAAACTGGTTAAACTAGTGAGTCTAGCTTCTAATATGAACTTTGAAAATCAAACTGGCTAAACTAGTGAGTCTAGCTTCTAATATGAACCTTGAAAATCAAACTGGTTAAACCAGTGAGTACAGTATAACTTTTAACATGATTATATTTCTCTTATAGAATTCCCTTAATGTAAATACATTACAAAAAGAAACAAATAGCTGTACCTTTGTACAAATATAAATAAGTACAGAGCTTGTCAAAGCCACTGAAATACAATATATTTCCAACAGGAAAATGACCCTATTTTACTTTTAAAGTACCTTCCCATGTGGTCTGACAAACCCCAAAAACTGCTTTAAATGGAGATGACATTCTGTTTCATTTTCCTTGGCCTGTGACAAATGATTCTGCCCATTATGATTCTTCTCACAGTACTTAACTAGGATGTCAAATTCCCATGGGAGCTCACATGGCAGTGCTAGTCTTTGAATTTAAGCATGTCTTTTTTATTTCCCGAGGGCATATTCTAGTTTCAGTTACCATATTTCGCTCTAAGTCTTCTCCTGTGAGACGTGTGGTTTGCTCAAAATTCAATTAAGACAAGCCTCGTTATCTTGGATTTCCAAGGTGTGATTAAAGTGATACCCTTTTTGAAAGCTTGATTTCGCTTCTTTAAAAGAGAGTTTCATCTGCACTCTTAAAAAATAATCACTTGATCTTCACTCTTTGAAAATTTAACCTACCATTTTGCACAATATAGATGGGCAGCACATTTTTTGAGATTATCATTTGATCTTGCTTCTAATTGTTTATCATATTGAGTTAATAAAAATTGAGCTATGTGCTTAGACTGTTAGATCAGAATTACAACTGTCACATAATTTTATTCCTTCAAAAGTACCTATGGCGTTTCTTACTCAAGCTCATATGAAATATCAAAACAGCTAATTCTGGGGTTATTAAGATTTTTTGAAAACCTGGAGCCGACTCAGGAAAAATTGTGGGTCCAAAATCTGAAAATTTCTGAAAAATAAGCCCCAAATTTACAAATAATAACCAATAAAGCCAGCTTGTTACCAAAATCAACCAGTTTATGTCTAATTTAATAATATGAATCATTAGCGTAATATTGTGAAAGATAACAAGTTTCACATATAAATTTTTTGAGAAACGGTTTGAAGATAATTATCTTTTCCGCTTGACCTACCTTAAATGATGTATTCCATCTGACTGGTTATATTCCAATCTACAAGAGAAAGTCATTGAGGTTGCAATCATGAATCTAAGGGTAAATTGATTTCTGAGATTTAATAGCCACAGGATCAATATAGAACTATCTACAGTAATCAACTCTAACTTCAGTGTCTGTAGAGAAAGCTTTTCCCAAAATGTTATCTTGTTCACTGTTGTTTGCCTCCTTTCATTCAATAGAGACATATTTAATTTCTTATAATCTTGCTTCAAGACCAATTTTTACTGCCCTACATAAAAACTTAAGACCTTATCCTAGAATATAGAGTAACATCTGTCTAATCTGAATGACAGTGAACAGCCATAAGTGTTCAAAATAGCAGATGTTCACATGTCAAGTTTTTCTAGCAAGGAAGACAATAGGAGATTACAAAATTAAAACTGAGCGAAAGTTTTCTTATTAGATTTGAAATATTCAGATTATAGAAGTGTTCATATAAATTTTTCTAAACTGAGCGAAAGTGTTCTTATTAGATTGGAAATATTCAGATTATAGAAGTGTTCAGATATAAATTTTTCTTTTTAAAGTCACCTTTTTCTAAAATGTTGTCAGAAAAGGCTAGTTACAACATTTTGGTAATTTTTAATGAGATGATGTCTACAATCCGTCAATTTGTGCTAGAAAGAGCAAGATAAACTGACTGATATAGATTATTGAAGGATAAATAAACATGATAATATAACCTTTTCAGCTCTCTGAAAATGTGACTTAAAAAATTGTCTGAAACAATAATGGCTGTAGTAAAAAGGAGAATAGATCGATTTTCAATTCATTTTTTTGCTTTTTTTTCTTTTTCTAAGAATGATATCAATTTTTTTTAAATTGTATCATTTAGAGCAATATATTTTATATATATTTTTTTAATATTTTGTATTGGGCACATTTTCTGAAAAAGTCAAAAGATTCTGTTCAGTGACCTTTCCTGAGCACCTACTCTTAGCTATTTTTCAGTCACATTTTCAGAAGGCTGAAAAGGTAATTTCATCATCATTAGGGTCATTCTGACCATGGCCATTGCGACCTCGGTTATTTAAATGATATGGACTGAGTTAAACTGACTGGAGGTCCATGCTGTTATCTTGGTTCAAAAAAATTTCAAAATCCAGCATGGTTTTGTCACTTTTTTTGTCATTTTCTGTTAACTTCCATGGCACCTTAATGGCCCCCAGGTTAAGATATAATTAATTAAATCAAGAAGTCAATCGAGAGAATAAATTTTGTGAAAGATGTTTTTAGCTGACTTTCGGCATGCTCTATCAAAGTGGTAGAGTCCATGGTCTGGTCGCTGGATAGAACCTGGCTTAAAGTCTGTTATACTGCTTCAAAGGCAAGCAGTTAAACCTGAAATATAAGAAATCTAAATAATATTGTGCAATAGTATATAGAAAAAATATATTCATATTGCACATTTGTGGATGTGTTGGATTGCTTGTAGACTGGCTAGAGACTCGAGTAAGGCTCATAAACTCTGTAGGGGAAGTCGTCCTATCATCGCACGGGTACTCAGGGAAACTACTGACGATTTCAAATATGATAACTTCAACTTACTTTGAGAATATGAGATGAAAGATCAACCTTTCCTCTAAAATCTAAGTAGTGTTTGACATTTCTCAATCTCCGAACGCTAACACTTTAAGACCCCTTAGACTCGCATGTGCGGTGGTCCTAATTATCGCACAGTCGTCCTAATTATCGCACAGTTATGTTTCAGATGTCATTTCACTATACTGTATACATTTCTCTGTTTATAACAGATACATACATATGCTGTAATCATTTTTCTATCAGTTTTAGTGTAAAATATCAACAAAATATACATTATACACTTACTTTTCTGTCTTTATTTGGAGGGGGTCAAAATTTGTCAGACGAATTTCACTTCTTGCGCAAAAGCATTTATGACAATGGCGGAAGTTAACAAATCTTAAAAAATGAAGAGATATTTCTAAATATATGAATAAATCATGAAGATTGGGAGTAATGGTGTTGAACTGTTTTTCGTAACACTGGTTTAAAAGATGGTGGGTGCATATTTTAGCTATTTAGGACAATCGTGCGATAATTAGGACCGTGCGATAATTAGGACCACTTCCCCTAACCTCTTATATTTTGATGCTTCTCTACCAAGTTAATTCTCAAAAAAAAAACATGGTGGACAGACCTCAAATTACAAGAGGGCACAGGCTTATTGCACTAAACACTGAATAATCTGGAATATACAAATGTCATTCGTGTGCAATATGAATATATTTTTCTATGGCACAATTATAGATTTCTTAATTTTCAGGTTCAACTGCTTGCCTTTGAAGCAGTGTAATAGACTGTAGAGTCCATGGTCTGGTCGCTGGATAGAACCTGGCTTAGATTCTAAGTCAGGGGTGGTGACAAAGTGCAAGTCTTTGTTGGATAGTCTGTTTCCAATACTGAATTAAAAAAAATCCACTGATTTATTTTGTTGGTGACTTCTCAGTTCTTCTGTTTTCTGTTTGATTTCAGAAGAATTGATTGACAGGCTAGCCTAGCCTAAACTTATGCTTTTCACACTTTGACTGAGTGAATGAAATATCAAAGCTAAGGTTCTGTACTCAATAAAATGTACGTTAATGTATATTTATGGATAAAATGAATGAATACATACCGTCTGAGAGTGTCATTCCCACTTTCTTTACCATTTCAGACTTTGAATGTGACAAAAAAGCAATTAATCTAGCCTTGACACTCACTTACGACGCGATTTTGAATTTTCATTGAATTCCAACGTTAGGTAAATAATTTACAGGTAGTTTGCTCGATTTGAACGTAAGATATAATATCACTTCATGAAAAAATTTATAAGGCGCACAAATATTGCGCGTTTATTTATTATTTAAATCGGAAATGGTTGATTGATTTGACTTTTCAGTCACATAGTTTCCCAATAGACATTGCGCGCGTGACGTCAGTAAACATGGTGGACAAAGTTAAAAGTTTTTGAAAACTTTTTCATTACACTTTGTGATTTTAAAGTAGTTTAAAGCTTATGGATAATGAATCGGGTGGTCGTGATGGCTTGCGCTAATACACTCGCACACAAGGAAGTCATTTTTGTCTGACAAAATAAATCAAGAAGTCACCAAGGTCACAAAAAATGTTGAATAGATTCAGGTAAGTGTTTTAACTTTTATTCAATTTCCCGGGGTTTTAGCCTACTATTTTGTTCTGCATGAATTTCTAATCTATGAAAAAATCTTGAATATCATGGAAAAGTTTAGTAAGCTTATTGCTACTGTGAACATGTGCATTGCTTTGTAAAAGTAGTAAATACATAGGAGATCCATTGAGTTGCAACTGTCTTGAAAGTCTATTCTACAGTGCTGATATATAATAATTAAGGGTGCGTTTTCAAACTAAACAGAGTGCTCCTACCAAAATGAATTTGCCTACATACCCCTGAGACTCATATCTGATAGATATAATGCACAAATAAAACAAAAGTTTTGCTATTATAGGTAAAAAGTTCTCTTGAAATTTCGAAGTGATTTTACCTGTTAATTCTGTCCATGGTCAGCCATTTTTGCGGAAGTTACACTGAAACGGAAACACCATGAAACGAAACGAAATCACTAGAAAAAATATGGCACACATTGTGCGCATGTGCAGCAAAGTTTAAACCAATCATATTATTTGATTTTTTTGCGCACGTGAATTATTTGCTTCTGAGCACTTACAAGCTTACCACAATAAACAAACCTGGCTGAGACTACCCTTAGCCTACTTCATTTTGGGGAAATTTCAGCTCAAACTCGTGACAAATGCATAATGCATACGCTGGTGTGAAGCCTTGGAGACACTAATTTTGGTAAATATGATTTATGGTGTATACTTTTCTGCAGTTTGTGGGAGTTTGGGACATTAAATGTTAAAATTCAAGAAAATATGCCAATTAAACGACTGATCAATTAATATATATCAGCACTTTAGCAGCATCGTCAAGCATATTTCTGGTCATGATCTAGTCATCCAGACACAAGAATCACCTCATAATGATCATGCTAGTTTCTCAATATATATTTTCTTGTTCTATCCTTGGCGTAAGTGGATCTGTCATGTTACAGAACATAATGTTGATGCATGGACTTTTTATACTTTTTTCATTAGGACACCTAAATATGACCTAATGCAGGACTGTCTGATTTGGTGATGCAAACTTATTTTTTCATTCATCGGTAATGAACATGGAGCCTTTTATATAAGTATTTGAAACTATGTAATGAATATGTATTTAGGGATTGATGTAATTGCCTAGCCTGTGTGGCCAAGAATAATAATATTGCTAAGAATTTGCTACTGCATGCGGCAGGAGCATACCAGCCTATTCAAGGTAAATTCTGGATTCATTCTTGAAAGAAAACTTCATGTTCCAAACAATATACCTAACTTTTGTATATTTCAGATAGTTAGGTATAATGTGAAGGAAAGCTGTGGCCTTTTGTAATTTAGGGAGTTTCGGCTATAATATTTTTGAAAATAACATGGCAGAGAAGCATCAAAATATAAGAGGCCACACATATGATAGCCAACTTACAAAAAAAATTAAAATATACAAAATTTATGTCTTGTACATATGTTTCTATTTTTTCATAAACTGTTGCAATATGGTCATTTGATTCCTTATTTTTTAATTGAAAGTACTAAATAGAATTTTGAATCATACTGTAATAAATTTTCAAGAAATATTTGACATCAACAAGTAGAAAGCAAATCATAGATTACAACACATCAAATCTATGATACACAGCAACCTGAGCAAAGTGGTACGATCTTTAGGAGTTTTGTGATATATTTTACCAGGGGTTTTATTAGCAGCAGGCAACAGGTAGTTTTCACAAAATCGCCTGTTGTTTTTAGGGACTTCAAGTTTTCCATGTTAAATTTATAATTTCCATTAATTTTGCCTGTTGTTTTTATTTATTTAGCCTGTTGTGAGAAATTCTAGTGAAACCCCTGTTTACTGGTAATAAAACTTGCAAAAGGCCACGTGCAGGATGTAATAGTTCATATACATTTATTTATTGATTAGTATTTTTATTTTACCAACTTGAAAATTAATTTATTGAAACTGTCTATCATACTTATTGAAAAATCCATATATTTTATGCAGTTGACCAGAAAATCCATATCAGGTTTGCCATTGAGTGACTTTTGCAGTTCATTGTTGAAGGAACAAGCTACTTACTTAATACATATGGTACCGAATAATCTGGTAATATTTTAGCCACACAAATTATGCAATATAGCAACTGAATTGATTTGTGAGCTTTGAATAGGGTTAGAGCCCATACTTATCAGGAATAATATTTTGGGTTTGAACTGATTTTGTCTCGACTTCTCTACCAGTTTTGTCAATCAGTGGAACATACATCTACGTATATCCTCCTATACTCAGTATGACAGAAATCCTCCTTATCTAGGCAGAACAGGCTTAATACAAAAGTTTTTCATTCAAATTGAATATGCTTGGAATTACATACCCTTAGTGTTTGAACATTGATTAAAGGTGAATTTTAATACTGTTACAAAACATACAATTTTTGGTTTGATTTCTTTTCTTTGATATTTGGTATTTTGGTATTCTATACATTGACACATCAAAATGGGATGTAGACTATTTTATGCTACTGTTTTGTTGAAACTTCAAACCAAATCGATACATGTACATTCTGTATTTAGAAAGCAGAAAAACAAAAACGAATATAAACAAAAGAATAATTATGCTCTTTTAATGTCTATACGTATATATACAAGGATTAAGTAAGGAAAAAATCAAACCGGAAAGTTCAAATTTTTAATACCAAAATGTATAAAAAGTGAGAACTAATGAATGTATGATAAAAGCTTAACTAAGCCATTGAATAATTTTGACATGTTAAATCTGAAAATTAGCAATTATACTGGTATATCCTAGTATTATATGTACATAAAAGAGAATTATATAGAAATGAAACTCTAAGTAGGCCAATATAATTTCATAATTTCAAAAAGCGTGCATCCTCTTCCTGTCAATCTAATTAGGGAATCAAGAAAAATCCAAAAGAAGGATGTTATTTTAACCTAGATTTATTTGAATATGATGTTAAAAATATTTTATATATACGATAGATTGTTTTATATGACATAGAATAACAAGTAGTAAATGACCTCTCCTAAGAGTGCCTCCTTTATATGAAATTATAATTGATGAGAGACATAAATGTTCAGAGTGCTAAAACAACCCCAAAGCTATAAGGGATGTCCAAAAAGTTTTGCGTGAAAACTTTTCAACATGTGGAATTTTTATCATTTTTACATGAACTTGAAGCAGATATAGGTTCACCCTTCTTATATAACACATGAAATTTTGGTACAACCTCCTAAACAAATTGGCCTTAAAATTATTCTGAAAGATACATTTTAGTGCAAACTTTTGGAACAACCCTTTAATATCAAATAAATCATTCATTGTTCGTTTATACCAGGTAGACGAGGATAGAATACAATTACTTGAAGCTAGAAGCACATGATAGGAGCGATACATGTATGCTGAAGACTTACTATCCTGGCTACATGTTTGTACTAGCATATTTAATTTAAACCAAACGGATAATATATTGTATACTGTGAAAAATATAGCCTTACACTAAGCCCTTGTATAATTTCATTCTCTTTTTGCATAAGAAATACAAGAGCTTGTGCAAGACTTTAAAAATATTATGGAAATCAGTGATCTCACAAGGATTTTTTCTAAACATAGTCCTAAATTTGACCTGTTTCAGTCAAAGTACATGTATAGTATCTCAATATTTCACCATTGTGACAGGGTACAGACAGATTTTAAACAGAATGATATGTAAATTCAGGACTCACAACATAGTTCAGTTTACTCTTTCAGTTTACAATAAATCTCTGATCTCACCAAGTCAATCAGATTGATCTTCGAAATATGGACAAGTTTCTATTTGATCATTTCCTCTGACATCACCGCATAGTTAATGAGCATGTATTTAGCACATGTTCCTTCCACTTCCCTTACTGGCTGAGAAAGCGTCAGCATGGTAAATGATTTATTACCCGGGCTGTCACAGGCCCCAATCTTTGGGGTGGGGCTGCTAAACTGTAATCTGGTCTATGCTAGGCAGAGGGTAGTTTATAACTAGACTCTGCATGCAGTGTAGGGTAGAGTTAAGCACACAGTTGCTCTAGTGCTTTGGGGATCATTGAACTGTTTATTTAGGTTTTATAACATATAAGATTACTAAAATAATGGTAGCTTACTTTGTGTAGAAAATACTAAAGCTGGAGGCCGTTTTGGCTACTATATATATATATCAAGGATATATAAGAGTATGTGGTCACTACAATAAATCATATCCATTATCTTAAAATAGCCTTGATATAAGATAGTTTAGATGAGCAGTGAATAGGTATATGCTATTGGTCATATAGAGTGGAGGGTTATTATTGGATCTGTAGTTATCACAAATTGCAGCTTTTGTTCTTGATTTTTATGTAAAGATGGCAGCAATGTCGATGTAATACATGTTATATTTGGCCACGATGGTTTAGATGTCTTATGTCTATCTCTGCTTTTATTTAAGCATCGTTTATTAATCAGTCATTTATTGTCAGTTACTGAGTTGTCAAATCAGAATTGCAG